CAGTGTTTGCGTACGCTCCTATATACGCAATACTAAAACTCTCCGTTCTCTCAATCTCCCCACGATAACGTATGCTGTACGGTCTCTTTTATCATCGACAATTTGAGAAAAAACGCAAGTGGCTCGCCCGGAAAACAAAAGAAAACAAAAAAAAAAAAAAGCGGGTAAACGGCGGTTCTAGCGAATATATTCAGGGAAATGGGTGGCCGCCGAGAGTTTGAACGCGGAAACGGCCGCTGGCAGTGTCGTCTTCTTGTTTCTAGTCGGCCCTAATCTGCCCTCGTTTTCGCCACTATTGAGATATTCGTGTTTCCCATCATTCTTTCCCACCGCCCGGGATTCTTACGGCGGCGCCTCTTTATTTTCCTCCTGATAGGAGATTCCGCGATTCTAGACGCCAACAAACCCCCCTACCCCCCCCCCCCCCCCCCCCCCCCCTTTTCCCCCTTTACTTTTTTCACACACAAAGATATAAACGTAGAAATAAAGTCGAGCGAACTGGACCGACGACATTTCGTGACCGAGGAAAAATGTCTTGTGGAGACCGTCTGCTACACAACTTCTTTGCCCTAACTTTTTTGTTGTTGTTTGTGCTTGCGATGGGCGGATGGTGGACGGCTGATAACACCGTTTTTGTATTCGGACAACGATTAAAGAAACCCGTAAGCACGATGGGGCGCTGCGTGTGCTACGGTCCCTCTGGCTATCGCCATCGGAGCCCAAAAGGGCGATCTGCTTGCTCCTCCCACCGTTTCGGTTTTGTCGAAGATCGGAGGACGCCGGCGTCCCCTCCCTTCTTTCTCGGGACATTCGTGGTCTCGTGCCAGTACCACCAGGGTTGCCAGGTACTCGCAGATTAACCCCGCCACGTTTTTGTGAGATATATATCCCAAAAGTAGCCAAATGTCGGGCTATAACAATAGCCAAAACTTTAAATCTTCACACAAAGTGTCTGAAACGTCTCGTTGGAACACTCGTGACATAATTCGCAACTTTGCGCGATGGTGGTACCGCGGTGTGAAAGTAGCGCTCTATAGCTCCTGGATGATTGGCTTCCCAATAAAGGTGATTGCCTACACATTCCCGACGTGAGGAAATGAAGTAAGGCTGTAGTACTGCTCGTATATAGAAAAACTATAATTACTTACGCTTCGCAGACTTAGCATCGTAATGCAGTTCTACAACGATCATCCAGGTGACAGTCATTTTGATAGGTGCCAGCGCGCCCTCTATAGGTCGTGAAAGTTGCGAATACATAACACATGCACTTACAAAAAAAAAAAAAAGAAAAGAAAACCGAACATCACTAGTTTCCAGAAACAATGGCGTTGCAAGGGTACATCACTGCGGTTAAAACCACCCTATTTTCTCGGAAACCACAAAAATAAGTAGCCCAATTGGGCTACTTACAGCCCATCCTGGCAACCCTGAATGCCGCCTACAGCTGGTGGTAGGCGAAAAGTTCGGGTTTGGGAGGAGCTTCCCCTCAACTCTAAACTTGTCACCGACTTGTCTTCTATATAGTTCCGGTAAGGCCTGACAACCCTTTTTAGAAAGATATAAGGCAGGGGCAGCATGTTACGGCGTTCCGTTAAAACACTCAGTTTGGACGCGTTTCTAGGTTTCAGTGTCTGATCGGATCTCATCTCTTCGCCCGCGGTCCCGCTCCCCAGTGGCCGAGGCGCGCAACATGCCTGCGTCACACTTCCTTCAGTAAGACAAGTTGGTGGCAGGTTTAGAGTTGAGGGGAAGCTCCTCCCAAACCCGAACTCTTCGCCCACCACCAGCTGTAGGCGAGGGAGGCGAGGCGGTGGCTTCGCGCCGGGGAGCAGGACCGGGGGCGAAAATGAGCGCTCCAATGCGCGCTCTGATAAGAAACCGAAACCTAGAAACGGTGTCCAAACTGAGCGTTCTTTTAGAACGCCGTAAAATGCTGCCCCTGCCTTATATCTTTCTAAAAAGAATGGTTTTCGATGGTGCTTAGCAAGTTTCTCAGCGGAACAATATGTTTATTTTCACTAATTATAAATATCAGTAAACTGGTTGTCTCGCTAAATAGCATGTTTTTGCATTCATCAACGTTCGCCAAGGCGCAAAGAGTCTTTTTTTTTTATCTCGGCCAGCATATTTTTTTTATGGATTTTCGATAGCTTCCGCAGAAAACATCGTGTATAATATGAATAATAGGAAGAACAGCAAACACAAAGACGGACCCTGTATAAATATCTGAGTGAGTGTGTGTATTTTTAAGTGGACATGTCTATAGACGTGAGGGAATAGTATGTGTGTGTGTGTGTGACTGAGTGTATTAATAATCTGAGCGTATGAATGTATGCGTCTGAGGGTGTGTCTGCACGTGAGTTCGATTCAATTAATGTTTGTGTGTCTGTGCATGGGGACCAAGTGTATAAGTACATGAGCACTATATGTCTGTGCGTGAGCGAGAGAGTGAGTGTATTCGTGCGTGAGTATGCGTTTTCTTTTTTGCACCTGTATGAGCCACTTGTCTGTACAGAAACGAGCGCGCATTTGAGCCGAAGCAGTAAGGAGCCACCGTACGTCCCAAAACATCTCATAAGCCAAATTCTTCCAGTAGAACACACACGCACACAGAAATAATTTACCATTGATTACATTACACGTTGGTTGTGCACGCGGATGGATACGATGTAACATCTCAAGCTGGTAGAGAGCGCACGATGTCTGATGTCCACGCGTAGGAACAACAGAGATTGGGTTACCTCTAACGCAGAGTATATGAACTGCAACACGACGTTCATCAAACACCAGGTATAGAGAGATTTAACGCCAACGCGAGAGAGTGAACGCCGTTCCAGAAATGACACTCAGAGCCGTTCACGTCCCCCCTCTTTCTTTTCCTCTCATTCCGCGACCGCGGCCGCGAGAGCTCGTGTCCGTGACTCTTTGTTTTGTTTTGCTGGCTATGCGCGTACCATGACCCCCCGAACCATTTTCCGGTGTGAGGAGACATAAAGAAGGCTTTTGCTTTCATAGCACGACGACCGGAACCACCTTCTATACGTTTTTGTTTTGGTCTCTCAAGAAAAAGACGGCGTAAGAACCACCATGTGACCATCATCATCGGTGTATACGCGTTTTCCCACCATGGTTGTCTAAAGCGTGTCGCGTCATTCACGCGGGGTTGTGTTATACGGCGCCGACGCTAAAGCTTTAAAGAGCAAAAAAAAGAAAAAGGGGGAAGCATCGTGACGATAGTTTTAGTTCTCACGTCTTTTTTTGTTTTGTTTTGCGCCGGATTCAATTGAGCGGAGGTTCGCCCTCAGCACACCGCCAGCCAGTCGCTTTGGGGGAGGGGGGGTGAATGGGCCGAGTCTGCTTGGATTGGCTTGACTCGTCTTGACTCTTGCCGCGGCTTCGAAGACAAAGTGTGCAGACGGTAGAATAACTTATCCCCACGCGTCGGTGACGGCATACGGATGATACGGTAATAGAGAGTTTTACTAAATCGTTCCGATACCCCCGATAACGATACGATGCACGCGCAAAGGTGGCGGCGGAGTATCGGGTATAGTTATCGGAGTCATCGGAAGGATCTACTATATACTTTCTAATGTCGGCGAGGAGGTCGGCCTAGCGATGTAGCCACCATTGTATGTACGTCTTATCACCCGTTATAAAGGGAATAGCCAACACGATCCAATCCAACCTGCGGAGTAGGATAGAGATGACTGGATTATCTACCTACACCTCGGTCGTGTTCCAAAATTTACTCGATCTTACTCCAGGGTAAGGGGTTTGTACCTTGGCGTTCTAAAACCTACCCGCGTCCAGCGTTTTTTTTAATCTGTGTTGTCACGTGACACAACCCGCCGAAGTAACTCGGATCCATTCGGGTAAGATTTGGAACACAGCCCACTCCGTCGCTTATCACCCAGGCGAAAAATGCCGCGTCACTGGACTGTGCGCGGCGTCGTCCGATTTTCCGCAGAAGACAGCTACTGCGCATCTGACGATGCGTTCCACAGCCCACTAGATATAAATGGCCGCGAGCAGAAGGCCATTAGAGACCTTATGCATATTTGTTGCACCATCTAGTTTGGAAGTAAGAGATTCAAGAAACGCCAAATGATTTGATACTGTGTCGATAACACACCTTGTAAAATTTCAGCGTACGAGATTTTTTTTTTAATTAACGGTTACCGCGGTTTTGGAACTCCTTGTCCAGAATATGGCTCCCATAGGAAGAATGAGAAAGAGAGCGAGAGAAAACGAAAGGAAGAAGACGTCACGCTAGGCGTGTTAGTTTTGCCACGACTAGTTGAAGTAGTTCAAATACTATAGTAAACTTAATTTATTTTTATATAATGCGCAACGCCGCTGTTTTTTTTTTTTTTTTTTTTTGCGAAGTAAACGGGAAAATTATTCTGCATACAGAGCTCACTGGTGATGTTTTTCTGCTTCTTTGATGTCCGCGTCAATACCCCGCCGTTCCGAAGCGGCCGCAACGCACGTGACATTTCCCTTTATAGTCTTTTAACTTTATACTGGACGCACGGTATAGAAGACGTTTGCGACACGGCCTCTTGGCGCCGCCATCTTGCTGCTGGTGCGCACGGATCGCCTGATAGTCTATTCTTTTTTGCATGCCAGACTAGCGTTCGCAGCGAGGCTGCTTGCAGACGTCAACCGCATCGAGAGTAATCCAGTTTTGTCAAATATATTTTGTTCTTCTTTTGGGAATCGGGATTTCTTGCGTTGTGCTCAAACAAAATAAAATTTGAAGAAAACAAAAAACAAAAAAAAACGTTTACGTTCAGAGAGAAAGTGCTTGTGACTAGGCGGTTATGTACCACAATACTGTTCGAGTAAACGGCGGCCGTCTTCGCAGACGACCGAGTTAGCAATGAATGCGACTTGTGGCGCCATCTCCCAACAGACGCAGCAAGCAGAAGGCGTACTCTGTTGTCTGCAAACAGTGTAATTACATACCCTCGTTTTTCTATCTGTCCTACCCGCAGCCTCAAGACGACCTCTCCAAGAGTTCGACGCCGCGATTCTCGCCTAGCCCTGAGTCTACCCCGCCGTCCCTGCCCCACGTACGCTCCGGTTCGACCACCGCCGAAGACGACGACAGGGCCGAGGTCGAGAGCTCGGCGTCCGTACCCCCGCCGGAGACAGCGACCAGCGAAGAGGGCGACGACAGGTCCACGCCCAGGATGCAGACTCCCGTACCAGACGTGCCCCCGGCGTCCACCAACGGCCACCACGGAAGCCCCGCTGACTCGCCGGTGACCAGGAGTCCTCCGGATGTCCAGATGACCAAGTCGTCGTCTGCCACCGCCGCCGCCGCCGCGGTCTCCAGAGGCCATCACGATGACTTCAAGATGATGGGCGCCAGGGGCACCAAGGACCAAGTCGTCCAGTCGTCGACTGCCACCAAGAGTCCTGGTGGTCAAGACCCCGCAGTGGTCCTCAGGAACGGTGGTACCCTGCCACCCGGTAGCGACGGCCTCAACTTCGGCATGAAGGCGTCAGAGCTGAGGGAGCTTCTGCGCTCGCGGAAGAAGAAGGACCCGCGCGAGTTGCAGATGGATCTGCGCCAGAAGTACAAGATCATCGAACAGATGTGAAAGATTGTACCTCTCTCGTGTGTCTCATTGAACTGAGCTCATTGTCAGTGCGGCTGGGGTCGAACCGCCATATGCCTTGACACGTTTTTTTTTTTCTCTTTGTTTTTCTTGATATACAACTTTTTGTTTGTTATTGTTCGGCGCCATTTATGCGACTCTACTCCGCGTCCAAGTTTGTGTCTAATCGTCTAGACTCTAGACCGCTCGACGTGGTTTTACCGACACTGCAGCGCTGCGCGCTGTGAGATCGTATTGGCGACGACAGCGTCCACGTCGCCGCTGTAGATGCCAGTTTTTGTCTTCTTTTTCTTTGCGGAAAGTTGCGTCGACATGATCGGTACCCACTGCCGAAGACCTGTGTCTATAAGGATATTGATTGGATTACTTCTTCTGGCACTTCTAGGTCGGTTGACGGTGATTCTGAAGCGGCCATTCCGCCCTACCCTTTCTAAGGCCTGTAATAATACAATTCTCTGCTATTTTTCTTCTTTACACCTAAGTCTTCGGTCGCATGTGGTAACAGCATGCGGCAGGTTGGAAGTTTAAGGTCACGCACGGGCAAGGCAACACCTACTTGATCACTTACCTATACACCAACTCACTGATAAAACGCACATTTGCTCTGCGCGTGCGCATGAAACTTTTTTTTAGGCGCGAAGCATTTACGCACGCACCGTTACGTCATAAAACATGAGTTGGTGTATATTGCTAGGGGACATTGTTGCACGAGCTACTTTCGAGCGTATTGAGAGTTACGCTGTTTCCAGTGTTTTACGTTTGTTTATATATGCCTGTATATGTTTATTTTTGCCTTTTTCCTGCTTCCGGCGGGGCGGTTTAAAACGGTTCGTGGAGGTACCGACTTGGGATGGGACCAACAGAAAGAAATGTAACGTGGACGGCTTAAACGTATAACTGCTTTTCTTTTATTAAAAATCATGTACCGAATTTGATACTTTGCTGCCGTTGTGTGCCTGAAACGGTCGCAAAGCGTTAAATGCCACTTTGGAGTAATGTTTCGCACTATGTAGGGTTGTGTAGACTTCCTGAATTAAGCTATGAGTCGCTTACACGATTCCATTTTTTCTTTCTTTCGGAAGTTTTATTACTTATGATTTCGGATGTGCCCGAAAAAGTTTATTATTTTTTATGCATGTGTTTTCCGGTGTTTTCTGCAGCAAGTCGTCGGGGATCCAATAACTGCTCAATGTAACGACGTTGTGACGGTAAAGAGTGCTTGTTAACTTGACGTGCGACTGCCGATTTTCTTTTCCATTTATTCGCTCGTAGCTGTTTCGCGTTCTATTTTTATTTTTTGAGAAAACTGGGTCTACTTGTTGGCCAATCGGGAAAGTTGTCCACTAATGTTTGTGTGTGCGTGTGCCTGCTTGTAAATAAGGCTGATGATAACGGAGAAACGTGATTCCACTTCTTGGAGTTACCTGCGCTCGTCCGAAACCTCTTTTGGGGTGAGGCAAACGCAAGTGTAACAGAAGGGGGGAAAAAAAGTTGATTTTTGAGATGTTTATATTCTATACAGACTTCTTGACCAGCTATACATATATACACCCTTCATAGCGTAACGTTGTGTACACGTTGAATGCCTGTGAACCTAGAACTTTTTTTAATGGAATTTTCTGGGAAGTGTTTGCTGTGAGTCAGCTTCCAGTGCCGCTGCTACTGGAGGGCGCCAGAGCATAAACTCTCGGTGGCCTAACATTTTTCTTATCCTGGCTGTCTCTACGCACAGTCTGATCGTGTCTGAGAGGCGTGGTAAAGTGTCACTTTTAGCACGTTGTCTCATACCTGTTAAACCTTAGTTGTGACTCCCATCGGAACACGACGAGACACTTAACATAGCGGTGACCGAAGTGACCTAAAAACTTGCGCCCTTTAGTCCTGCGTGGACTAACAGTGTTGTGAAGGTATAGCGAGAGTTAGGAAGCACCGAACAGACGCAGTGACCGTCGGGTCGCGATTACAGCTATTTTATTTTCATTGTTATCGACTTGTGTACTTGAGAACGCAGCTAGCTGTCTACAGGTAACGCTATTTTCTTGTACACACTGTGCCTTGGGATATGGTTGGTGCGAGCTGGGGTGGATGACGATGATGATGACGGTGTTTTGAACCTTCAACGTGACGGCAACACTGTCCATTCGTCACAAAACGTAGTGTAGTCGATCCTCATGTGCCTTTGTTAAGTGAGTCGCGCGTACTGCTATACAAAGTATTTTTTTTTATATATAAATAACGTGATCCGAATAGTTGTGCGCTCACGTATAAACTCTAGCATAGACGTTTCACTGTTGTTGATTGTTGTTTTGTTTTTTTAGGGTGGGAAGGGGGAATGTGAATCAAAACGAATAAATAAACGTATTTAGCGAGAAGACCGCGGACGTGAGTTGTGTGGATTTTCATTGCATGTATCTCGACACCGTCATGTGCATACATACAAGACTACTCGTTCAAGACTGGTGGGGAAACATGCCACCCCCTAGACTGCAGCGGCCTACTAATACATGTAAACGAAATTAAAATGCACCGTAAAACAGACGGAAACGACACCAAAACCGGAAACAATTTAAAAGTTCAGAATGTCCATAGTTCGGACCCTAAATAGACACACGAATTCATCCATCCGCACAAAACACTGTTCACATTTCCTCTGGGAATAACAGATGCTTTGTACATTTATTTACATTTTTTTTATAGTAGGATGGTATTGTGTAACTTGTCTAATAATCGGGTGATGAATTAATATGGCGCAGCTAAAGTAGAATGGCACCCATGCTGTTGATTTCCAAGTTTTCAGGCCTCCAAGCTGTGGTTCCACCTTGTACCAAAGACCAGGCTGTACTTGTAAGTACACGCGTTTCACGCCCTCACTCCGTCCATAGAAAATATTCCAAGTACGCATATGAGGCAACTAGGAATTCACGCGGAAAAATGCCATTTCTTTCAGATGCTCGCTTTCAGAACAAGTTACTGTTCCAGACACCGACAGACATCCAGCCCGACCTCCACCAGTATCATCGGCCCTGAGTACGATGCAATGCGTCCGCAACGCCACCTATCGAACGTCTGCATCCGCCGCCTGTCGAAAGGGAAAACGGCGTCATTAGTGTTTTAAATGGGATGCCGATGGGTGGGGAAACAAAGAAGAAAACACCAACCAGTGTGGGAGTACGTGCGCTGTCGCGACCAACTAAACGCTCGACTGCTTCTGGAACAGGATAAGCTCGCTTTATCTTTACCTATCCATTTTTTTTTTCTTTTGCGTCTGCTGATTTGTTTGGTCGCGTACGTCGTGCTTGACTTGCGCCAATACCTAAGTGCGTTCGCTGACACTTTTTTTTTTGCTTCTCTTTATTGGAACTCGCTGCGATGTCATCAGAGGAGAAGGACTCTAAGGTAAGTACGTGAAGCTTATTCTTTCATCCGACGTTCGTTACTTTGCCGCCATCTGTTTATTTTTTTTTTCCAAGTCTTTTTAACGTTCTGGCTCCAACGAAACGCACACTTCCGCTGCTTCCAATTTTTCAGCTGGTTCGCCCGGACACGGCTGCGACGGTCAATAATACGAAAGCTTTACGAGAGAACGCGTACACCAACACAGTGTTCACGAACGAGCCTTCGTCTTACCTTCGTTTGCCCACAACGGGCTGCACCTGCGCAGAAACCAGATCCGGGAGAAGTGAAGCGTCTGCGCATGCGCAATGCCGACAGCAGCGCCACCGCAGTCACGTGATGTCGAAGAGTTGAGTCGACCATATCACCCGGAACGCACCTATACGGGCTGTAGTTGTGCTTGTTGGAGCATAATACTATAGGAAGTATTCACTGCACGCCATATTTGTTGGTGCTGTTTAGAGCGCATGCTTAGAACGAGCTCACATCAATAAGCTGCTAAGACCGGCACTCTCGATAATGCGAAATGCACGTTGCAAAAGAACTGTGGAAGCTCGCCATCAGCACGCGCTCAAAATTCGCGCACACAGATATGGCTGCCAGTGAATACTCCCTATAGTAGGGCCAGCTGAACTTAGGGAAATATAATATAGGGAGAAAAAGAGACGTCTGTATCTTTTTCTCTCTATATTTCCAGCGGTATGTCTGTCTTTTTTTCTCTATATATTCTATTTTCCTAAGTTCAGAGGCCCTATTTATAGTATGGAGCGCTGTCCCCTGAGCTGACGATATAATTTCTTGCCGTCCCACTAGATGGCGCCATAACTCAGCTGTTCAATGTTCAACGGGGTCGCCTCTAATGACGTTCTGGTATGCAAAGGACTACGTCAGGGGTGCCCGCTGTCACCTGCTCTTTACATGCTCTACACATCCGATGTGGAGATGTCGTCAGTTGGCGGCTTCCTGGACTCGCTTTTGCAGATGACATTGCCCTTATGGCCGATGACGCGTGTCAGACATGAAGGTGCTGCTGATCGCCTGTGAAACAGAAGCGGCTCGACTTCGACTACGGTTCAATGCCAAAAAGATCGAGGTACACCCAAGCATTCCTTATAAGTTGTGAATGCGAAAACATGCAAGTCGCTCGTCCTCTCCCTTTGTCGTCTGCTCCGTACTTTTCGTCGCCGGTCAGCTCGTGTGCTCCCCTGGGCACGGTGACCTTGAATGCTCCGTGTTAATGGCACGCTGATGGACACGCAGCGCCATGGGGTGAGCGGTCGTGGAAACTGACGAGCGCAGCGGCCAATGCAAGCCCCGTCGACGCGCGCCAGCCAATGGAACCGAAGGAAACTGGGTGCCGTTTTTGCGCTTCAAACTGATGACGTCAGCTCGCTCCATGAGACGGTTATGCGTTCGCATTAAAAAATTGGCAATCGTCCTTTTCTCCGCAGAAATGGAGGACCTTGAATCCCTTACCATTCAGAACGCTGTGCTCCCTGTTAGTACCAAGTACAAATACGTCGGGGTGACACTAACTACTTCAGCAGATTATCTGGAAGAACATCACCAGAACCTCAAGACATCGGCACTGAGAAAGCGCAATGTGCTTCGTCGAAAGGACCTGTGGAGCTGCGACCGTTATTTAATAACCCGAGAACCGTCGAAAGCTGTCGCTGTACCAGGCCTTATTTTCGTCAATGCTGTTACATGTGTCCTCAGCGAGATTAGGGAATACCTTGAGCGACAACAAAAAGAGATCGGGCGCCAGGCGCTGGGATGTCACGGGAGAGTGACTAATCAACTTGTCCAAGGTGACCTTGGCCGGTCCTCGTTTGAGGCACGGAAGGCCAGCAGCAAGCTGGAGTATGACGTCCGACTGCGACGGAGATCGCTGGGCACGAAGGGTTTTTATATACATTCATTTAAAGAACCTAAGAACGACATGGAGGCGGCGTACCAATCGATTCGGGACAAAGCACGGCGCCTTCTCGGTGAGTGACGAGCCCTCTACAAAGAACCATTGGGTTGCGAAGGTGAGAGGACAGATAAACAACGCAGAGACGAACCGGTGGAGAGCCGACATGGAAGAACATCTTATAAACCCTGAGATAAAGAACGATAAAAAAAAAAAAAAAAAAAAAAAAAAACGGACGAACACAACAAAATCTTGTGTTCCTTGTCCCTTGTCTCTCGGATGGTGTAACTCCACGGACTGAGCTCCAGAAGAAAAAAAATTGGTTTGCTCTTTATGTTTATACGGCCTTGATGGAGAGGCGCCTCAACGATTAATCGGTCTCTTAGCTGTAGATGAGTAATTTAGCCAGTGCAGTACAACTTCGATCCCCGCCGCCCCCGCCCGTTTCGATCTGGATGAGTTTCGTACCGGCACACGTTCGTGGGACTGAGCTCCAGCGGCCAGAACAACCCTTTAAGTAGGGCAGGCCCTCTAGCGGCGGTCCCTACCCGACCCACGGGAAATTGTGCGGTTGAGTCGGGAGGGACCGTCTGCTGGGTTGCAGTCCGTTGAGATCCAGGAGATCCAAGACCCTTTATTACAAAGAAGCAAAGTGGCCGTGAGGGCCTCAAGTACAGAAAAAGAACGACCATGGCCACGGGTCAGGGCGCGGACGACTGCTTGGTTGTCGCATCTGACCAGGGTCCGGGGTGGAGCAACCAGGAGGGTACAAAGGACGGCCCACAACTCTCTGCAAAAAAGGCCCCAGGGAGTGTGTGTGAGGATCGAAATATTGCCCGTTGGCAGGCACAGTCCTAGTCTGGTGTTGCTGGCATCAGCAAACACTTCCTGTTGCACCGAAGGGGAAACAAATGGCATGGTCGCGGGAAGGTGCATTAATACAAAAGAAAAAAAGGTTAATCCAGTCCAGGGGGACTGGGCAGCCGGTTGCTGCTGCAAGATGAAGGGGGCGCAGAACGTGGTAGTGGCACCCGAACAGTGAAAAATAAAAAGTCCACAAGCAAGCAACACGCTGGTACGTCTTGACACTGGGGCTGTCGTAGGACTTGGAGGGTCCTCAGGAGGTCGCGGCAGCGGGACGGCGTGTGGGCAATGGTGCGATCAACACCGTTAAGCAAAAATCCCCCCCAAAAATAACACTGTGGGTCGGTGAAAACTGTGAGTCCGCCGGGTTCACGCGGAAGCCACATTGGTGAAGATCGTCCAGGAAACGCGTGGTTTTTTCTTGCAGAAAAACAAAGGATGAGTGCGCAAAGAGCAAGTTGTCGAGGTGAGCCCAGGCCCACAGGAATCGAGCACGGGCTTCACAGGCTAACGCAGTAGCCAAACTCTGCATAAAAAAACGGCGCAGGCCGTATTCCAAACGGGAGCACCTTGTAACTAAAATAACGTCCGTCGAGGCGGAAGGTGGTCAAAGTTCTCGTCTTGAGATGGAGGCCAAAGTGGTAAAACGCATCCCTTAAGTACACTTTAGTGAAGTAAGACCGGGGTGGGGAGTGGACAGATCTGAATGGCCTTTGGGAGGGGTGGGAGCAGAAACTTTGGGCTCGGTAAGTGGGGGGTAAGATGAGAACAGTCGAGCACAAATCTGGAAGCCTTGGCGGACTTCGGTACCAGCTGTATGGTGACAGGTAAGGGCCGCGGGTAGTAGTTTCCAGGATTCCCGCCTGGAGCATAGACTGTACTGCCTCGCGAAGGTGGGGCAACTGGGACGTCGAGGGAGCCCGCGCGTTAAAAACAGAAAAAGCTCGTGAAAAAAAAAAAAAAAAAAAAAAAAAATCAACGCGGCGGGGTCAAACGGGGGCGCGCAGCCAAAAAGAATACGGGTCAGGTCCCAGTTGACCGTGGGGGGTGGTTCACTTGGTCGCACCGGCATGTGCGGAGGTCCGGAAAGGAAGGCTGCCGGACGTCGGCTGTCGGTTGATTAATCATCGTTCTCAGAGTCGTCCGGCGGTGGGAAAGGTTTGTGGACGGCTAGCCAACGAAGGATGCGTAGAGCGGCATCCGCCAGGCTGTCCTCCCCGCCATCAGGGTCCGAGTCCACGTCGGAGTCGGGGGAAAGCCCCGGGTCCGACGTCTCCAAGGGATCCCCCGCCTCCGCCCCAGAGTCCAAAGGAGTGTCTAGGGAGGAGGAGGGGGAACCAGGAGGCCCGGCCCCGGGGGAAGGCCCCGAAACCGGCGCAAAAGGGGACGAGAGGGCGGGAAGGCCGGCCTCACGGATTGCCTGCGCCAGGAGGTCCTCCGGAAGGGGGACATCCTGGAGAAGTGCCAACGTTGGCACACCGTCCACCACAGCACAAACCGGGCGAGCGGATCCGAGAACGATGTCAAGAGCACGGGGAATGTCCACAGGGGCCTCTAGCGCATGCAGGAGGGCCAGGCATTCCGGCGGGCAAACAAAGTTCTGGGGTAAAGGTTGGAGCTCACGGGAAAGGCCGGCGTGGGGAAGGCCCAGGGCAGTCGAATCCGGGAGGTCCGGGGAGAGTTCCGGCGGAACAGGTCGGTGGGGAAGGCCCGGTGAACTGGTCGGTCGGAACATGGAGGGCTCACTTTTTGGTCTTTTTGGACGACTTGGGGGGCAGTTGGTTCCGTGTGCTAGCCCGGAGCCCTCTGGGGGGACTGGCGGTGCGGTCAGGGGACGTCGTCCTGGTGGCCGCTGGGCGTCGAGCTGGGACAGGGGGTCCCGTGCACCGGCAGTCCCGCAACTGCACAAAACACTCGAGGAGCTGTAGCTCTGTGATCTCGCGTCTGCCGATGTGCTGGGAATGCTGTGACACTTGTTGCACGTGCACAAAGGCTTCTGCAATGTCGCGCTTGGCTGGCGGGTCGCTGACTGTAAAGACACGCTGGCGTCCAGCGACTTGCGGGTTGAGGACGGTGTAGGGGTGGTATGCAACGTAAGGTGTTGCAAAAAAGCGGCCGGGGTCGGGGGCCGCGTAGGGGGCGAAGACTCGGGGCTCGGGCGGGGCAGTTGCTGCGGTCTGGGTAGCGGCAGAGGGCTGGAATTCGAGCTGACTGGCCATTGACCAGGGGTCGGTGGTCGGGGCGGCGACGCCTGGTTGGGGCTCCAGTCCAGGCTGGAGTCTGAGTCCACCGAAAGCCGCGACGGGGGGCGGCTGGGACTGGGGGGTGGACTGGGCCGGCACCGCTCCGGCGGCGACATTAATTGTGAGCGAGAGCTTTGCCGACAGCTGTCGCCAGGGCGTCAGCCATGGATGCTTGTGATTCCGCAGCAATGCGTTGGTTCTCTTGGAGGAGACGGTGAAATTGTTGGTTTGCCGTCTCTCGGTCAGTCGCGACCACTTGCTCCATCCTAGCAGTATACTGCTGTAAAGCACGAATAAAGTCACCTGGGTCTCGGCTGTCCTCGTCCGAAACGTCGTCCGGTGGAGCGCATGCCACTTGCTTAGGAGGCATGGCCTCTCGGGGCTGGTCACCAAGAGAAAGCCCAAGAGAAAAAGGGATTTTGTTGTGTTCGTCCGTTTTTTTTATCGTTCCCCATCTCGGGGTTTACAAGATGTCGATTAATTACCAGCTCGCCTGCACTCTCTCACTGCTTACAATGGAAGAACACTCCAGCATGCACCTTTATGCGACTTTCAAGACCAACATCGCTCCCGCCCGCCGGTGTGGAAATACACTGGCTAGCCGACTCCTTGCCGAGGCCAGCGGTGGTGCCTTGCGCACCCGCATCTACAGGCAGCAATACTATGTGGACGTGACCGAAACCGTGTGCGGTGCGTGTGGAGAGGTGGAAGAAACTGTTCCACACTTGCTCCTTGAGTGTCCGGCAATCGTACCTGCGACAGACGTCGGCACCCGCATTGAGCAGGCCCTCGGTTTCACGGAGGAGAACAAACGTGTGATGTGCTCAAAGAGGAGGCTCGAGGCATGGTGGACAGTCCACTCGTGATACTTCAGACTGACTACGAACCCTTTTTCTGACTTTCTAGTTCCCTTTGTTTTCATTATCTTTCTCTTTTCTTCATTGGCATGTCTATTATATAGACGCTCGTTAAAAAGAGCAATTACCGCCAGAAATCCATACAGACATACATACATCAAGGCGTGCTAGAAATGCCTCAGGTAATAGGCTTGCACGCGCCCGGCGTAGTCGCAAATGGTTTATGAATGGTTTGCTTTCGCTCCATTATTTAACAGGAATCCACCGAATGAACGACACTACAATCAAATGGAAAGACAAACAGCACATAGAGTAAGTTCTATGTTACTGTATTATTGTACAGCTCGAATAGTCGCGCCCTAATCATAATTAGAAAAAAAAAATAAAAATAAAAAAAGCTCGACGTACTCCTAAGCACTTCTTATGAGTTGTGAATGCGAAAGCATTCACAACCCATAAGAAGTGCTTAGGAGTACGTCGAGTGCTTAGAAAGTGCTTAGGATGGAGCACTTCCTAAGCATAAGAAGTGCTTAGGAAGTGCTCCATCATCCCCTCCGACGATGTGGATGATGGAGGTGACGGCATGTTGGTCGGCGCCGAGCGAGCAGAAGCTTCCGAGCGCGCGCCAAGGTGTCCGTTTTAACCGGCGCAGGGCCCCGTAGAATAGGTATTCCCATAGTGGCATGGGGTTGCGGCGGTTAGCTTTATCGGCGCGCAGGCGGCGGTCGTTGAAACTGACGTGCGCAGCGGCCGATGGGAGCGCCACAACAGACCACGAAACTTGCCAGCGCTCTCAATCTTTGATACAGATTATGCCATAATTAGGGGAAAAAACATTAAATAAAAAAAAGGACACGAGGCATTTAAAATAATCAGATGGTGTGCTAACGATGCTTACATGAGCCCTTCATAGTTCGCGACTATCAAACAATCCATTATTCAATCACCAGATCAACACTTTTGTGCGTCCTCAAACAATCAAAGAAAATTGAAAAAAAAGGTTCGTGCATTTTCGACTATTTGATTATGCTATTTTGTTTTAATTTTTTGTGCTCCAATCTTTCTATTTATGATCATGTTTTTTTTCTTCTTGTGTATGCTATAAAACTATTTGGTTAAGAACGTTATTATCACTAGCGCAAAAACGGTGGCGGTCTACGTGCTACAGGTGCGGCATATCTTGCGATAGCAGACGATCAAAGACTATAATGCAATTAAATGCCTTTCCGAGACTAGTGGCGCCATCTCTTAGGCGCAATGTTAATCGCCGTCGCCTCGCGCGGATAAGCAGTGCGCGGGATCGTATGAACGAAGCACGTCCACAGCACTCCTGCCAAACGCACCTGCCCGCGAAAACAAATGGACGTACAAGTGACACGTGTCGCTTATGTTTGTAGGCGAGTGACGAACAAGACGATTCATTGATTCCATGGGACATCTTCCAAAGGGCATGTCATGCCGAAAATAGCCTCCACGGGAGACTACATAAACTAAAGCCCGAGACAGGGAAAACGAAGCAACAGAGAACTCGACGCAACTTTTCTTTTTTTCCCCTTTTTGTCAAGGTTTAGTTTAGGATGTTTCCTCACCAGCTCGCCCTGCATGCTTTCTCATCTTACAACGCATGGCTCAAGGCTAAAAATGAGAGGGTCTCTTCGGCATTTCTCAAAAAGCGTTCTAACGCGCGTCTCGTTTTCGAGCCGCAGTAGAGCCGGAATCACACTGCTCATAATACATCAGTGTCACGTGATGTCATGTGACGTCACAGAAGACCTCTAACTACTGTGCACTTGGAGCGCCTTTGTGACGACGTCATAGTGTGAAGTGACACCATCTAGGCTCCACGCCACAGATGCAAAATCCCCGATGCTAGCGCTAAAAATGCGCTATAAATTACTTGTTTCGGTTTACTGTCAGAGCGCATCCAGCGGTCCTGCTCCCCTTGGCCAAGGCGCGGGGCCACCACCTCGCCTCCCTCGTAAGAGCGACGGAAGTGTGTCGTTCGCCAATGAAATGAAACGCTGCAGTGCAGTTCCAAGGCCATTGCAGGAATAAACACTTCGATTCTTGGGTTCCGGCAGCTCCATCGAACGAAGAACGCGTGGCGTCGCCCGTTATAGTTGCGCGTATCTCCCGTGGGATAGCGCCGCACCGCTGTCGCGGAGATCATACATGGGTGAATTACTTCCAAAATGTAGTTTAATTACAATTACTTTGCTTCGAAGTTGTCTAACTACAATTACGTGATAAGTAATTAATTACAATTACAAATTCAATTACTTTACAATTACTTATTTCTGAGAGCGACCTGAGTTGGGCCACATCACTTTAAACGAGCTGTATAGAATGCAACACATTTGTTCAATCCTTGTCCCAATGTTTCAGGAGGCTTAAGCTGCATAAATGTCACATATTGCACTTTCCTTTTTAGGAATTTTTAAATTCATGATAGAACTTGACAGTTTGGGGCCATGAAGTACTACGTTCTTATATTTTAATAAATAATAAGGAATTAGTTCATATGCTAAAAGACGTCAGTTCGCTAAAAACAAAATTGTTGAAAAACTTTTGTTAGCCACGCAAATAAAAATGCGACCATTAGTCATAAATGAACATTTTACAAGTGCCAATATAAAACTGAAATCATGTTATTGTAAAATTATTTACATTGAGGTGAAATTATAATGGCTTAGAAATATATAAGAACCGAAACGCGGCTCCCGAATCTTTGTGACAATATTCGCAGGGGCAAGGTCAGTCTCCAAAATGCGTATACAAATAATAACCTAAGTAAAGCCAACAGGAAATAAACTTAAAAATAATGCAAAAGAAACAAATATACGACAGTACTGGAAGAAAAACGTATAAAACTCGCAAAAACGAAAGAAATAAAAATAACTTCACAAACAATTAAAATTCCCAACCTCGGCTAAAAGCTGAAGCTAATTTTTTTTTCTTTCAATATTTTGGCATGTTTACGCTATTGTTTTCTGCTCGCACAGCACCGGTGAGGTAGGCTCCAAAGGGGATGATGCTTTTTGTGAGGTTCCGTCTGCGCCGCTAAGTCTGGCAAAAGTAATTGATATTGTGCCCGAAATTTTGCAATTACTGATGCTAGAAAGTAATTAAATTGCAAGTACAATTCCTTTTAGCCGAAAGTAATTAATTACAATTACAAATCAAAAAGTAATTGAATTACAAAGAAGGTATGGCGGAGATCCGTTGTGATGGAAAACCGAAACTTAAAAACGTATCCAATCTTGTTTTGTTGTTGTTAACGCTGTAAAACGTTTTGCAAGACTTGCTTTTCTTTTTCTTTTTTTAGAGTGTTTCACTTTAGTGGTTAAGTTTACCAATTAAAAAAACTGCAATGCAGTTTCGCCGCGCCGACCGTACAACCTTATACAAAAGTGCGACTTAGACCAAAAAATACCGGACTTTTCCCGGCAGCATATCCGGAAAGGCGTGATTTACTGTCGCGTCTTCTACTTGACTTTGTGTCTTCTTTTTTTTTTTTTTTGCGCCGTTTTATTTATTTTGATTGTGCACCTACTTGCCCAACTAGCGCGCAAGTAGCTAACAGAGCCGGGCACGCCATTTTGCGTCGTCGCCAGTTCAGCCAAATTCAGCGGGGACGCAAGCCCCCTCCCGGAGTAAATAACTCGGCCACCGCGGAAGCCACACAAACGTCATGGCGCTACGCTGATTGATGGATGACTTCGCGCCTCGCAATTACAACGGCACTGCATGAGGCTCTCGAAAAGAAGAAAGAAGAGAAGCAACACAATCAATGTATCAAGAAAAAGTCCCCCTTTGTCTTTTTTTCTTTTCAAGCTCGCGCGCGTACTCAATTGTAACCGCAACGTGGCTAGGGAAACAGTGACTCATCGCTCTACACGCGATCGGGCTTGTCGAGCTTATCCTTATCACTGAAAAAAGAACGATAACGCTCAGAGAGACACCGCGGCTCTGTGGACGAGAGAGCTTGTTATCTCGGTATCGCTATAAAGCTGAACCCTGCGCTCGCGGTTTGATAAAACGAGGGGAAAAAAAAAAAGTTACCGAAACCTCGTTTCTCGAGCGGCCCATCTCGTCGGCTGAAGCCAGTCATCCCCCTTTTTTTTCCCCTTCTTCTTCCAGACTCTACGTTGCACCTCGGATACACCGTAACATCAGGTCAGTGATTGCCCAAAAATCCAACCGATCCTATCTTGCCGCGGCTAGGAACTGTTCGCTTTGACGCCCACCGCCTAATCTTTCGAACACTGCCCACTGCCTTTGGGAGTCGAGCTCAGCGACTGAGTACGCTCTGACGGGGTCAATCAACCAGCATGCTGTACAGACCATAGTCCGCACGACGCCCAAAGTCAACACATTGATGCTTGGTCGACACGAAAATCTTCTTAGAGTCAGAACACCTTGACAAATGTCTGCTGTCTTGGCTCACAAACAAGCTTGTGACGTACATAAATCATCCTTAACCTACTATTCCATTCCAATCTTTTAAAAAAAAAAAACAAAAAAAAAAAAAAAACGTATAATGCACCGCGTGAAATAAATATTTATGGTCCACGGACTACGGTGTGGCAAATATGGTAGCTTCAAAAGTGCCGACAGTAACTGATAGATGGCGCCACCGTCCTGATCGGCGGCGTCACAGCTGGTAAACCTGCTAAGGATGACCGGTGGCGCCATCTTTGGCCACGTCTAGATACCACGGTCCTATTTTTTTTTTCTTTTTTACTTTTTGTCCTATTTGCATCGTGGTTAAGATTTGCGAGTCTAATGGGAGTCGACTCGGAGAAAGTTGCGAGGGGAAGGTCACAAGCGTCCAGTAATGGGATTCACGAATTTCGGCATCGAAAGTTGGCGAACAGCGCAATACTGCTGTTTTTTTTAAACAGTAGCCAGACTTCGAACGTCGCTGTTGCCACCAGCTACCACTGACACAGCGTTTTCAGTGGAACATGACTGAATGTGTTTCCTTCGATTGTTGTACCCCTTTTTAGGGTACAACAAGGTCGCGGTACTAGTTGCCGATCATGCTTTCGTATTAATTAAATTACAATTAATGAATTATTGTATTTTCATAACTTTTGAGTAATTTGTAGTGTTAACTAATTACTTTTGACGGAAAGCAATTGTAGCCGTAATTGAACTACTTTTTCACCTCAGTAATTGCAAAAAAAAATATAATTACAATTACTCTCTTATGATTTTGCCACGCAGAGCTTAATTGTAGTCCCCCCACTGCAGACGATACACTTGACTAGGGTGCCTCAATGACCTTCTGTTTAGATTGATGCCACCCTTTGTAGTACCCGATGCCGACAGCACGCGCTCACGGGGAAAATTCAAAGAAATCGACGAAAACAAAATGTCGCCATAGCACAGTCAGCGCCACAGGCGCGTGCAGGGACACGCTCTTTCACGCGCTTCTGAACAAAAAATAAATGTAAAAGTGGGAACAAAATGGCCAGATGTCTCCACCCTAAGCAAAGCGCACATGAAGGCACCCTACACTTGACGACTTCCCAATTGACTTCTGTCATCTCGTGGGAAGAGGACCTTATATTCCCAGTATGGAGAAGAAACAATATCACCAAAATGATGTGATCGGGATCTGTGCAGGGTGTGTGTATATATATATATATATATATATATATATATATATATATATATATATATATATATATATATATATATACACTAAAAACCTTACAAATATGAAGAAAAAAGTTATAAAAGCTACATTAATGCGGTCTATGAACGTGAGTTTACTGCCAGGGGCAGGCACGTAGCGAGGGGGAGGAACCACGTGACCCACAGTGATCGCACCAATCACGTAACCACGCGACTAATAAGGGCACCGATCCGGCTACCACGTGACTCAAGGTGGCACAAACCGACGTGACCTTCTAATCAACATTTTTGCGATGACCAAAAGCCGCTTTTTTTTTTTTTTTTCAGAAAAACAGGGATTAAAAAATCCACTTTTTTGTGAAAATATGGGAAGCAGCGTTGCACATCCCGTTCCATCGTCGCACGCAAACTGTCAACGTTCGTCGATTCATGGCTGGGAACAAGCCGTGTCGAGTCGATTGACCTCTTTGCATGTAAACGTAGTCATGCACTCCGTCTGGCAAACACCTGCAGTGCCGACAAAGGCGCCAGAGCGTGGCTTCGGAAAGAGCCTTTTTGTGCGTGAGTTCTCGCAAGCATCCAGGGATGCTGAAGAGGCTTAATCCGTTACAGCCTACGATGGACCCAAGGTGGAAAATAAAAATCGAGAAGATTTCAATCAAACCAGTCTTACTACGATGGTTTAAAATCAAACATTTCCCGCAAACATAACCCCGAAAATAGATTTTATTTACGGTTTGTCTACCATTTGATGTTGTTTTTTTTATGAGCTCTTGTTGTGCACTGGAACCCGAGAACCACACAAGCAAGAAGGATTCATATCAGTCGGAACACGTGCAAAAAGCAGTGCTCTTCTAAGCAAATCAAAACACCGAGTTTTTCTTTCTTTTCTACTTTTTGCCTGTTACGTAACGTCTTATTGCAAGCAAATCAAAACACGGAAGAAAAATTGGGGATCGACCTTACGGCGTGATGCGTTTAGACAGTCGTCAGCTTTTCTGTCGTCTACGCTCACGCCGTCGCCAAATTTCGCTGGGAAGCTGAATGGCTGCGTAGGTCACGTGACGTCAATTTTTGCACTAAAATTTAGGAGGGAAACTAGATTCGTTTACGCTCACGTCCCCGCGAAACCAGGGGGGGGGGGGGGGGGGGGGGGGGGGCTGTATTTGTTATTGCTGTAAAGGCAAACAAAGCTTTCCAGCTAACTTAAAAAAAAAAAAAAAGATAATAATTAAGCCCTTTTGTCCTAGTATGGCGGGTTACACACCGACAAAAAGTTGTTGATTAAACTGTACTTTCAATTTACACTAACTCCTTCTTTCGCGTTGTTATCAGTGATTAATCATTGATCAATCAATCTGCGATGTTTAAAAATAAATGCAGCGATAAAGAGAGTCATGATTTTCTAGCTACAGTGATTTGAATCGAGTAAATCTGATTTAAATCAATTTAGTCTTATTTATATCCAAACAAATCGCACTTATTTCATTTTAGATAAACATAATGATGACTTTTTTATCATTATTATCTTGGATAGACTGCACCGGACGCACACGAGCCATCCCAGCGAATAGAGCCCTGTGAAATTATCAGGTGACCACGTGACACTCAAACTCCATTGTATTGAATTGACCTCGACGGCACACACCAATAAAAAACTCGAGCTGATTTAAACGGGACAATGAAATAAATCTTGGGCTGGGATAAATGATTTTTACTAGATTAAGATTTTGCTAATCGCATATCGTTTAGTGGGGGACAAAAAAAAAGAAAAGGGTGGCCCACTTTTTGGGTAGAAAAATGTCTGAAAATATTAGCCGACTATTTATTTCCTACCTCCTCTCCTTCCAAATCTCCGCCTTTTCATCGTGATGCATCAACACCTCCTAGATAACAAGGCCGCAGTGCTGAATGAGATGATGTCATAAGCGAAGGCCAACGCTGGACACAGATTGGAAACGAGTTCTACGTCAGCGCCCAGCTTCGAGTAGAGTTTGAGCCGAACGTTGACGCAATCGTCGTGTCCAATCTGTGCCCAGCGTTGGCCTTCGCTTATGACGTCATCTCATTCAGCACTGCGGCCTTGTTATCTAGGAGGTGTTGGGTACTAGCTCAAGCTTTGGAAATGAGCACCGCGACACTTGGACGTACTTATAGGAAGTATTCACTGCACGCCATATTTGTGGGTGCTGTTTAGAGCGCATGCTCAGAACGAGCTCATATTAATAGACTGCTAAGACCGGCACGCTCGATGGTGCGGAGTGCACGTTGCAAGAGAACTGTGGAAGCTCGCCATCAGCACGCGCTCAGAATTCGCACACAGCTATGGCTGCCAGTGAATACTGCCTATATAGCGCTCGTCAACAATCAATCCGCCGACGAATGGTTGGATTCGGGTGCGTGGACGAGGGGTGCCGTGACGGCACTAATCATCACTCGCGAATGACAAGTTCCGCGGTGCTTAAAACGCACGTGCGAGTGTACGCCACGACCACGGGAGTTCTGATCTCCCGTTTGGGTTGAGGGCGAAGGAGGAACAAGTTGAAAAAAAATCATTTCAGGGCTCTTTCAAATCGGGCTGGTTTCACTACGCTGATTATAACTGGACCTGTCTCCTTGAGAAGAATATCGAAAACATTTTAATAACAGTTTTATTGACCAGCATATCAATGTTTGCATTGTTCCAAAGGGAAAAAAGTATTTTGTTGTAATATTTATTATAGCTCAATGACAATTTCACGTTTAGAATGCATAATCCCTTTCTCTTTAACAAACACTTTTTTTTCCATAGTTTCATTCATTCATTCATTCATTCAGAGTTTTATTGTGTTTGCCAAACAGCTTTAGGGGCCTTTTTAGGGTTACACTTCACATTATAAAACAGCACTAACTAAACAAACTACACGGCAATCCTAACCACAATACTATTCTTGAACTTTTTAATATAAAACATAGAGAGGGACAAGCATGCGCTCGATTTGAATGACCATGACTCTCTACGTCGTTATTTATAGTTTTTTTTTTTTCTTTTAATTCCTTTGGTTGCTTTGCACTTCTGTTGTGGCCCAGAGGCCGGAAATATTTCTTCTGGCGCCGACCTCAGATGCTATGGACTTGTGCACAAAGTCAAGGAAAAAAAAAAAAAGGAAAAAACGGGGGGGGGGGGGGGGGGGCGAATGTCGGCTGGAAGCTTTGAAGATAAATTATAAATGGGCCAAAGATGTTTCCACGAGATTTCGACAAAGTCACAATTCAAATGTAGCTTGCGATTTCGTTTATTGATTTATTTAAGCAAATGCAGCCTGTTCTCTAACTAAAATATCGAGCAGCCTATGTTCCAGCAAAAACGTTAACCGTTGTACACCAGCTTGCCGCACTGATTCGCATTCTTGTGGTGGCCTAGAGACCGTAAAAAATTTCGTATGGCGCCGACCTCAGATAATATATGTGTATATATATATATATCTATATATATATGTATGTATATATATATATATATATATATATATATATATATATATTAACGTATTTCAGGTAAGTTATCTACACTACTCTTCCATGCCATTTTCAGTGGCGACATTTATTAAAACGGGAATCTACTATGTTTAAAAAGCACCTTGCGCCAAAGAAGTATTTTGGAGAGATTCAAATGACATAAATCCCATTTGTTTAAGTATTTTTCACAAGTCACATTTTTATTTATTCGTTTATTTTTTAACTCCAGACTACACTCTAGCTATGAGTAAGCTGTAATATAATCCGAAATGTTAACTTTTTTTTTTTCTCTGAAAAACG